CGATTTTTTTTTGTTTTTGTCCCCCGCCCCCCCCCCCATCATTTCAGGCAACTGTGGCTTAAAGCTTCATTTGCATCCATTTGTTAAGCACTGTATGTATTTGTCCGTTTGTATGTCTGGAGCTTGTATATTTATAGTGGAGCTGCTGCGTCTGAGCTGGCTTCCCCATGGGGGAAGCGGCGCCCCCTACTGAGGCTTCGTATGAACGTTGTACCAGTTGGGCCCCCCCCCCCCCCCCCCCCATCATTTCAGGCAACTGTGGCTTAAAGCTTCATTTGCATCCATTTGTTAAGCACTGTATGTATTTGTCCGTTTGTATGTCTGGAGCTTGTATATTTATAGTGGAGCTGCTGCGTCTGAGCTGGCTTCCCCATGGGGGAAGCGGCGCCCCCTACTGAGGCTTCGTATGAACGTTGTACCAGTTGGGGAGCATCTTTTCAATAAATGGGCGCGCTTCATCAACGTCATCAAGTCGTTTGTTCATTAAGACATGGCCAAGCCAGCACACGCCTGAAAAATGTCAGTCTTCGGGCATGGGTCCTTGTTAAATGAGTATCATGGACTGTTCCCCCCACAGACCCCCCCCCCAAAAAAAAAATCTGCAAATTCTCCCCAAATTGCATTGCAATGTCGTTTTCAATTTCAAGCAGAGGTCCTTGAGACTTTTTTTGTGCGTCCTATGCTGATAGACCAAATTTCAGTTCGATCGGTGAAAGGTGCAGCAGGGGTTAATATTTTTCAGGGGGCTCTGAAAATTGGCTTTTCAAACTTAAATGTCCGACTTCCTGTTAAATTCCAAGCATGGGTCCTTTTTTTGTGCATTCTGTCCTGATGAACATATCCACATCATTTGGTGTACCGCGCTGTTGGTTTTTTTAACTTAGAACATTTAAGAAACGAGAGCCACTTTACTATGATGAGCAGATCCACACAGGATTGCTTTATTAATTTTTTTTACATCACCATTTTCATCATATTTGTTCATTTTCCATATAGGATATCTTCAGTTTGGTATTACGATCACTTTTTAATCATGGAAATCTGCAGTCATTGCACGACCTGTCATCAGAATGGACACGTAACAGCAGCGCTAGTAAGCGGAACGGTCGCCTTCCGATGGGACTCGCAACCATTCGGCCTAGCTCCAAAATGAATGAGCGTTAATGAGAGAGCAGCAACAAGGACGTACATGTACATACATTTATCCAATACATACCTTAAAGAAAAATAAATAGTCATCGTAAAAAAATCAAAAATACAACTGAAAAAAATTTCACACATTTTACAAATTGACCCCTCAACCCCCATTGTAGATGTATCATACATATAGATTTTTTTTTTAATCTTTTGTTTTTTTTTTCATTTTGAACCACACCTTGTTATTGTCACTGTTGAGGGCAAAAAAACGAAAATATCTCATTATCTTTTTTTTCCCCTTGTTGTTTTCTTTTTAAAGACATGCATCGTAAACACGGAGGCTAAAGGTTTTGTTTCCTGGGCTTCCTAGTCACTCCTTTTACTCATCCCTTCCCGAGAGTTCTCTTATGGCTTCTATGTGTGTGTGTGTGTAAAATGAGCAGCTTGTGCCTGTCCCTTTTCGTATGTCTGTTCACTTTCTTTGAATCTGTTTAGTCTCTCTGTGGCCCCGCCCGTGATTCATCTTTCACCGTCACGTTTCCCCAAAGATCTCAACAGAGGAGTCCGCTTTCAACAACTTGCCGAAAACCCCCCAAACACTTTTGAGTTGAAGAGCAAAGGTTCCCGCAAATGTGGACGCATACAATCGCCCAAAATGCCTCACTTGGAAGAATAATTCAGACTAGTTTATGGATGAATTGATTGATTGTCCACATGGTGTGCGCTCTTCACACAGACATTTCACAAAATTGTCATGACAGCTGTATAATCTGGTCTTTTTCTTTGCCTTTTTCTCAGAACAAAATGATTGATTATTAGCCACTGTGTGCACTTTCACAAGGAGACCCCCACATTCCATCAGATAGATCAATGGTCTCCAACCACCGGTCCGAGGACAGGTACTGTGCCTTGGCCCAGTTGGGACCGGACCGCACAAAGACAAACCTGCGAGCTGTGAGCAAATTCACTCCATCGGACGTGACATGGGAAATGTGCTTGACTCTTGCCAATCGGAGTGTTCCTTTTAACCGTGGTTGGAAAGAGGCAGCAAACAGAAAGTAATGGTAATAAATTGACGAAATGTACATCGAAACGCGCAGCCATGACTTCTGAAGATGAAGCTATTTTGAAGTTCCTCTTTGAACAAGTAGCAACCAAGTGATCAAGTGGAAAGCATGAAAAAAGGCGAGCAGAGTCACATAAACATTAGCAGTTTAGTCGCTAATAACTAGCCGGCAGCCACCAGATGAAAGCAGCAATCAATCCTGCCATCTTTTGCAAGTAGCAATGATGCTAACGCCGTACGTAGAATCGCAACTTCAAAAATGATTGCTGACATTATAGGGCGTGTTTATTATTCCTAACTGGTCCATTACTTAGTAGTAGTTCGCTGTGTTATTTTTATTTTATTCTACATTTGCTGTGCAGTAGAATAACTGAAAGGAATGAACGTTAATAAAATGTTGAATTACTCTATAATTATCTGCTGTCAGCAGCAGTGCTTTAAAACTAGCAATTTGAAAGCAATGAAAAAAAAAAAAATGGTTGCCAGTCCGCGAACAGCAGGTACTTGTCTCAACCGGTCCATGACACAAAAAAAGATTGGGGACCACTGAGATAGATGATTTAAATTTGAATGTCTGATCTGGTGTGCGTACAGGGCACAGGTGGACAAATGCCGGATCTACTTAGCGAAGACCGATACCCTGATTTTGCAGATGTCTGTGTGAAAGGGGCTAATCACTTTTTTGAAGACAAACAAAAAAGCCCATTTTCACAGAGAGTTCCCACATAAAACCAAGTAACAAGGATTTTTATGATTGTGTGCGGTTTCATACGGCAACAGCATTCCACAATCAGATGATGTCTTCACAACCCGATTCCAACTTTCCCTTTCACATAACCGTATCTACAGTATGTCCCACCTCTGAACCTACCTCGGAAGACGGGTGGGTACCTTTCACGCAGAACACCGACACGGGGAAAAGATGATTTTGATGGGTGAGCTTTTACGTCATACGGACTCTGTAAAAGGCACAGGTGGCTTAATGTTTAATCTACTCCTGCTGCGTCAGTTTTCCACTTTCCCCTTTTACATAGATGCTCGTGAAATTGCCGGGTTGCCTTCAGTACCTTTCATACAGAACTCTGAAAAACCCAGGTTGACAAGGCTA